TCATTAAGTGTAATAATAAAAATTTGTTTAAATTTAATAAAAATTTAATTATATATAGAAATCATTATAAAGAATAAGTTTACTTAATACATAAAAGTTGTTTTTATTAATAAAATAAAATGTTTAATATATGACAACTATTTCTATTTAATTATAATAATTCTTAAGTGGTCCTTCATTTATTGAGGGGGACTGTACATGTATACAATACAATACAGTATCATTTTTTTTAAAAAATTTTTTTCTATAGTAATTACTCTTGAAATTGAATCCAATATGAATAGATAAAGTTAGTCTTTACTATGCATATCATATCCTATATAGGTTCAAGTCCCAAAGTCAAATCAAAGCCTGACACTCTGTCAAATATTTGAGTAAAATATTTCTGGCACCGTTTGTGTTCCTATTCATCTCCACTTCGCACGAATCACATTTAAACATTTTTAATCCTCCAAGGTCATTTTTCACAAACCCACAACATCCACATGTCTTGGATATGTATTCCTCAGTGCACTTAATGATCTTGCAAATGCAGAACTCCCTTGTCTTATATTGTAAGAACATCTGGAACCTAAAATATGACCAAGTCAACATTACGCGAGCAGTCTTCAACCAAATCTTTCTTTTATTCTTTAAAACCATTCTCGAAGATTCTAATTTAGGCAACAAGATGATCTCGTAATTCATGTACAACCATCTCTACTCCACTCAATTAATTGACTATCAGGATCGTAACTGGTCATAAACATGCGAACACCTGGATTGAGCGAGATTACCTTTACTAAAACATCATCTTGGTTATCGATAATGTCTAGAGGAACAGAAACACACAAGTAAAATGTCTTAGGTGATTCAAAATTCCTGTCCACCTTCAAAAGGAATTATCCATATAGCTGATTTTTTTTAAAAACAATAAAAATGTTATTATATCATTATTTTTTGAACAATACATATACATATAAATTCTAGGAGTACAGTTATTAAGTCAGAAAAATCCCTACTTGCCTTCAAAAAGAATTCTCCATATTTGAATTCAAATTCAGAGATATTTGAATTATTTGAGTTGATTCAGCTCAAACCGCATAGTACCCCCTTGTTATAGATACTTGGATAATTATTTTTGAAGGTGGACATGGATTTCTTATAATTGGCTGATTCTTTTTGAAAACAACAAAAATATTATATACGATTTTTTGATTCCTATTTTTTAAACAATATATATATAATATAAATTCTAGAAATACAATTATAAAGTCAGAAAAATCCCTGTCCACCTTCAAAAAGAATTATCCAGATACTTATTATTAAAATAAATAGCAAATAGAGATTTAATTATTAATATTGCATTGTTTACCAACTGTATATGAATATGTCAAAAACTAACAAAATAGATATCAACAATTTAGATCTCGATTGTTTATATACTCTTGAAGAATTTGAATTCATTAACAACCAGCTTAAAACACACACTTTAGAAATTGAAGGGCAACCAGTCAATCTCTTTGATTTTGACAGAAACAGAAAACTTATCCCTATGCCACAATCACCTTTCTCTAGAGAATTGGTTGTTTTTGAAATTACTCATCAACTTCTCTGTTGAAATGTCGAGACATGTTAAAAAGGAGGTGTTACTTTGTTACAGGGAGGATTCAATTTTGCTGTAGGAGGTGTTGAAACAATCAGAGCATCGAATGTTGCCTACATAACAAAAGAAACAAAAAATCAGTTGGATGAATTTCAGAATTGGAGTTTTAAAGATGATCCTTTCATCTCCTGTATTCGTTGTTGAAGTAGAAGATACTTCGAGTGATTCGAAGTTTAAAAAACTTAATGAAAAATTCAAGAATATTATATTGCAGCAGGAACCTCTATGAAATTGGAATGACTAATTGATCCCAAAGTTAAAAATATTTACGTATATAGGAGAGACCAATGCCATACCAATCCTGGATGGCAGGATATTAATAGTGAAGATATTTTACTGGGACTTACTTTAGAAATATGGAAAGTCGATTCTGTAATGTCACAGGTGTATTATTATTGCTTTTCTTTTGATATTAATATATTTTGGATTAATTATAGCAAGAATTTGTGGCACTTGAGTCATCAAAAGAAGAAGATGCACAACAAAAATATTCATACTGTTCAGTTATCCTTTGTAATATATGTAACATGATGTTACATATTGAGAAGAATCATATATTCAGATAAAAAAGTTGATGGCATTTAGTTAGATTTTTCTGTGAATGTTACTTATGATTATATTTTTTTTTTATAAAATATGAACACTTCCTTTATCTTTATTCAATACATTTGTGTTATGCTGCAATTATTCTATATTCCTGGGACAAATTTCTTCAAAGGGTTTCTTATTTAATCTGTTATATATATATAATAGTAAACCAAGCTAGAATATGTTTTAAAGAATTATTGAGTATTGGTCAGAAATATGCAATTAAGTGATATTCAGATTTAAAGGTCAAAATTATATTGGTATTTTTTAGAGAAATTTTGTTATTTATAAAATAAATATTAAGATTGCTTAGTAAATATTTGATTAAATTATATAAAAGAAAATTTATACAGAGAAAATTAATATTAAGATAGGTATTGTTATACTTGATTTTTGCCCAAGATCATCATTACCCCTTGCCTGATTTTTACTAGCATTTATCCTTGAAATGTTATCCATTCTAGAATAATTCTTGTATTACTATCCT